CTTTAGCAGCAGGTTTTAGAGAGAGATTTTTGTTTCTGTGAGGGAGTGGGAGAGCATGCTCAGATTGCAACCCCGCAGCTAAGCGATTTTTAGTTTTTTTTCCAGTAGTTTAATTATGAAAAATGCCCCTCATGTTCCCCATTAAGGCTATTAGTAGACAGGCAGATCTCCCAGCATGAGCCAGTTCTTGCTAACAAGGTCTGTGTGTACCACATTAGGGAATGCAGCACTCATGCAGCTTTCAGAGCACCATAAGTGATTTGCCACAGCTCCTGTAAGGGTACGGAGCCAAACATACCCACACCTCGTGTCAGAGAAGGCAGCAATGTCTAGCTTTAAATTCAAGATCCTTGATTAAAAGAAGACCAGCAAGCCCAAACCCCTGCTTCTGGATACTGAGTTGCCCTCCTGCTCAAACACCGGGCGGGTGCAGTGCTGAGAAGGACTATCACTTTCCGATGGGGTCCTCACCCACTCAGTCACTCACATGAGCAATATAATAGCGGACTGAAAAAAAACCTTACCAGGGATTATATAAGCCTCAATCTTCACATGCACTTACTTCTAAGGTTACTTTTCCCTTTTTAAGGTGGGCCTTACCCCAATGCAGAAAGAAAATGGTCTAGCCCATAGGACAAGGGGGAGCCATTGCTGTTCTTCACCTCGATTTTAGTCAGGCTTTCAGCACAGGCACCCATAACATCCTTATAGCCAAAGTGGTGAGATAGGGACTGTGATGTAACAGCCCGGTCGTATGTATAGGTTTTCTTGTGCTTAACTCCCTTACATGCACCTCTGCCATGGCTACGGGTGTTGTGTGAACCCCAAGGTAGGACAGGGACTTGGATCTCTGCAGCGAGCTGGCTGCTCAGGAAAGAGGCTTGATTCATAAAGGACTCATATGTCTCAAATTCCTTGTGATACAGACAGCGGGCAACTGCTGCGAGTAGGCATGAAACTCCTCAGGGTGTTTTTTTCTTAAATGAATGAATTTTCTTTTAAATGCAGGCGAGATTTTTACCTGTGCTCTGTTGCTCCCACCTCAGTATTTATCACTTTCTTATGTCAGTCTTGATTCTGCCAAGACATTGCCAGCTCTGTGTAGAGGAACAGAAAGCTGCACTGGTGATGCTGGACATTGAGACATCTCTTTTCTTCTGCATAGCTTGTGAACGATGCTCTATTACAACAAACTTGTATCCACATCTAAGCTCACACAATGAACCAATTAAGGATCTGTGATTTTTTGTTTCAAGTATGTGGCTGAATGTTTATAGGACAGTCTAGATTTTAATCCAAACTTTCACAAATTTAGACAGCTGTCTCCAGTGCTGTCAAAAAGGCATACAATCAGCACATCTGAAAATCGATACACCTCATGGGACTGAGTACCTCGGTTAATCAAATACTGCAACCATTAGCTTTTGCTCAGCTTTCAGTTAGCTCCAAAACATTTTCTGCATAGTTTCAAGATTATAATCATTAGAAAAAAAAGAAAGTGGCTATTTTAAACATCGTGGTCTCTATGTTTTTTCATTGTTTGAACTTCACCTTTACTGCAGCTTGATTTTCCTTCCAGAGTTGCTCATTAGGTCTACATCTAGAGAAAACAAAACCCTGGCTGTCTCAGTGATCCTGGACAGTAGGGAATGCAAGGCTTGCCTAGGGCCATCTGCTTCACTGGATGAAAGGTTTGAGAAAACAAATCCAGACAGTTGATTCATTACAAAATAGACATAAGTTATGAAGATAATAATGGAGACAAATCCTATGAAGATCTCTTAAGTCCCTGGCCTCCATTACTGTTATTTTTTAAGTCAGCACTGGCTACCCACATCACATGAATATGTAGAGTCCCAGATGCAAAATAGCCATAGCTGCAGAGATCAGGGTCTTACCAATGGGTACATTTTATTCATCTAAAATTATTATAGTTGCTATTCTGGAGTGTGGTTGGTGTGGGACACAATCTCAGACTGCCTGGAGGAAAATGGCCTCACACAAGGACTCACTGTCTCGGAGGCCACGTGTTTCTCTGAAGATGAAAGCAAACTGTGTGCAACTCCACAGGGATTGGCTTGTGGGACACACTCTGACCACAGATTGAAGAGTGTAGCAGAGGAATTTTGTTGGTAGCAGAGGAAAGACTAAGGGAAGGTGAGATGCAACAATTTTTCCCTAAATTAAATCTAGAATGAATGTCAAACCTTAGCTTAAGCATCCTTCTAAGGAAGCCTGGACCAGGAATCTTTGTCATAAATATTCAAGGATTAATTTTCATCCATACATTCACTACTCTTCCCTTGTTTGCAGTCCATCAGACTGCAAATGTATGTGGCTACGACAAGGGACTTGTTATGTAGCCACACAGCATGCCTGGAAATAAATTCCAAACTGAACAAAGTTTTACGCAACCTTGTATTTTCAAAAGCACCTTACAGTAATCTGTAGCCAAGCAGCAATAAAGACTTTTAATGACTGTAGTCTGTGCTGTACTGAAACTAAACACAATCCTATTTCATAAAAACCTGTGGTCACTCAGGGACATCAGTTTCAGTCTGCTTGAGAGGCATATGTGCCCCGTCCAAATGCCTCTCGCAGTAACAAATCCAGTATCAGGCTTTACCAAAAAATAAAAACAAAACGTGATCTGACTGTTGAACTCATCAACAGGGCTGGAGAACAGAAAAGGTGGGCAGCATGCATGTTCCTCCACACGAAATCTCCTGGTAAAGTTTGCATGTGAAGGGGACCTCAGCTGTTGCAGCAGAAATCTTGGCAGCAATGTCGCAAGAGACTCCCAGCATCCAAGTCAGACTTCTTCAGATGTTCATAGTCAAGTTGATGAACTAATATCGGAAAAAAGATCAACTTTACAATAAATTATTTCACACCCCCTCTCCCTCCCTTTCCGCAAAGGAGAGAGAGATGAGCAAAAGCAGTGCCTTGCTCTGAGTTTATCCCAAACAGGGAAGAGGACCCTTGCTCACTAGGCTTTTATGTCCTGTCACTAAGCAGAGACCTCAGCCAGCATTTACTTCTGTGTTTGGAGGGAAGGATGCAGAGCTCTCCAAGCACTAGATGCTGATAATGACAGTGATTTTTTTTTGCATCCCAGGAGTCCACAGAGGCTCCCACATTTGTTGTGCCAGGGAATTCATTGTGCCTTGCCCCAGGAAGCTTTGGGTTAGCGTAAAATAAAAGACAACCCACGTAGGCAACAGGGAGACAAACAGAACATAAGAAAATAAGAAGTCTGTGCTAAGCAGTGAGAGAAGCAGGTTATGGACATGCACAGAAGAGGCTGATCCAAAGTCCTGGGGGATTCAGGGAGAATGAAGACTTTCCATCCCCATCTGCTGCTTCCCCTTTGCCCCACTGAGAGCTGACAGCCAAGGAAGGAAAAAGCAGAGAATCTAAAAAGAGGGATGGGAAGTCATCAATATGGAACAGGGCAAGGAAGAAAGGAAATAGCGTGGAGGAGATGTAATCAGTGCATGCGCTGTAAAATCCCAGAGCTGCTGAAACCTGTGGCAGATGTCCCCCATACTCTCATGGACATAGATGTCACCTGAAGCGTTGTGCAGAAATACTCTGGTTCTCACAAGAGGACAAAGCCCTAGAGAAGCCCCATCATTTTGTCAGTGTTTATGAAGCTGTGCTCATACCTCGCCTATATTCAGGTTAATGAACTCCTTGTTTTTCACACTCAGTGCTTGGAATACTCCTGAAATGAAAAACAGGACACTGCTGCTATAAATACATCTCATTCATATTCATACATGTGCTCCCCATCCCACAATGATGGGTGGCCGTGCCAAGGAGATGAATGGCCTGGAGCAAAAGCGGATCGCTTAGGATTGCTTGGTGGTAGTAGCTGTTCTGACAAAACAAAGTCCTTGTAAGAGTCTTGCTGACTTAAGGCGTTGGTGCAAGTCCCACTTCAGGACTTGACTGGAAGAGGGTGTCCTGGATGTGCTAAACGGTTGGATTTGGATGACACTCCAAAATGAAGCCAATTCAGCTTTTCTCTCTCAGTAGCTTAATACTTCTACAGCGACAGATCAAACCAGAAAGTAAAGAGAAGAACAAAACAAGAAAAAAAACAGTCAAGAAAGTTGATTTTGCTTCTCATAGAGTGAGTTGTGTTTGATTTGAATCTGGAACCACACTAATGATCACTTCAGGATTTATCTAACCACTTTCCCTATCTCTACTACTGCTGCTCTGGAACAAGAGTGATCCAGCACACAAATGAACTGAGACCTACAGTGCCTCGATGTACGAGGAACCATACCTTCAGCCAAAAGTGGACAACTTATGTAAAAGTTACAGGAGATACCTGCCCAAGCACATGTCTATTATCTCTTTGCATGAGGCACAAGCAATATTTGAACCTTGAACTTCTGTGATCCCAAATTAAGCTCGCGGATGAGCCACAAGAAAGGCTTTAATACGAACTTTGCCAGCATTCTTCACATGCCTTCTACGTTGCTGCCGTTTATGAAGCAGGCTCTATTCACATGGGGAGATTTTCCATTAGCAGTAGAACATTTTTCATTTAACAGGAGAAAAGCCACCCTAAAAGCAAACGCTAAACACAGCTCCTTTCTGTTGCTGTGTACACATTTAATCTCAGATATTGTGCAATATGCCCAACGACAGCCGAAAGTGGAACTTTTTTTTTTCAAAGGCGAAGAAATTCCAGAGGAAGAAGATACTCACGACTTGCATTCTCTAAGCGAACTAAGCAGTTCAGAAAATCATCAAATTCAATCTGGAACTGTTCATTGGAGTATCGGAGGACAATCAGTTGCAGCAGGTAGTTGTTGAGTCGGTATCCTTCCCAAAGACACATGCACAAAGGAAAAGTGAACAATCTCATAGGTCAGGTAGGACTGTGTAGATCTCTACTAACTAATCTTGAAAACTAGTTAATGAGAGGATACTCTGTGGCACACATCCATCCAGAAAGAGATCTGGCCACAAAGTTCTTTAAGCTTGCAATGAGTAAAAAACTCTGAACAAGAAGTTTTGCAGTCGCTGCAGTTTCTAGTCCATGCACTGTTTAATGTATGAGGGACCATTCAGTCTCCTTGAAATTTGGAGCGATTTCTGCAAAACTAGGTGCTTTAATAAAACTAATTTGTAATGAAATACAAATGCACTGACTGCTCTTCATAACAAACTGCTTACTCACTGTTCCTCCAATTCTTGACTGGAGATGGACTCTGAAGTGGTTTGTTTCAGGGTCTAACCTTGTACATGTGCAGCTCTATTGAGTTTAACAAAGCGCAATAAAAATGCAAAGATTTCTCTGACTGACAAAATTAGTCTACTTGGTGTCCTCTCTAAGTGTCCAGGACCGCCTCTGGGGTTTAGATCTCCTCTCTGTTCAGGGGGACCCGGCTTAGGTAATTGTTTGCAGCCCTTTTCACCCACAGCCGATCTGCCTGGCAGGTTTCCCAGATAAAATGCAGTGTTTGTCTTACCTGCAGCTTTAAGAGCACTGCGAAGCTCATAGGAGGACATGGAGCCAGATTTATCAAAGTCAAATTGAAGAAAGATATTCTGTTACGAAAGGAGCAGATGAAAAGTTCAATATTTGTATAGGAAAGGGAGCACAGATATGGCATAGAAAGGCAAGATGTTTATTTCTAACTGCGTAGCATAAGCATTTAAGAAAGCTGACAAGACTTTGGTCTAGATCCAGTCTGATTTCATAACTGAGGAGTAAATTTGGGTCTCAGTTGTCTTTGTCATATGAACAGGCTGTTGTGAAACTTAAACAACTACAGCCAAACCCAAGCATTCAAAAACAATGAGTTGCTCTTCATAAAAAATTCCATTATTTTTCAGAAAGTGATTTTATCTGGGAAGGATGTGTTGTTCTTTATCTTCTAACTCTTAACTGATGCATTCTCTGAATCTCTTTTTATGTTTTTCTCTATAATTCAAAAAGCTAGAAATAAATTGTTTAACTTGAAGTTAAGATTGTCACTTACTCGTTTTCTTGTAGGTTTAGAAGATCTAAACAGCTACCCTCATGGTACAACCAAGAGAACTGGTACAAATAGTTTGAATTTTGACCTAAATATTAAATAATTATTAAGCTGAAGTTAAATTCCATCCTTTTAATGAGACAACAAAAACGACCGCCCCTTGCAATATGAGTTATTTAGAGCTGTCGTAACATTCAGCTTAAAATTTTCCAGCAAATATAAGTACAAATCTTCCTACAAGATACAAGGATTTCCCAAGCCCCCTTGTTAAAAAACAGTGCGTCCTTTGTTGAAAGAGATGTGGCATTAGTACCCAGAAAAAGTGTTTGCCGTTTCTGATGGGCTAGACAAGAAGCAGAAAACTGCATATTTTGAATGCTTGGGTGAAGCATGAATTCAGAAGAAACTATTAATGACCATGAGGAAATAATTATGATGTCTTTATTTGAATATTCAGTCTGTGGCCTGATTCTGAAAGCCTGCTTATTCTTACTGCCATATACAGTGGCAAGGAAATGTGTTTAAAATTAGGATCAACGCTTTCCCAGACTTCAGTACAGTCGACTCCTAAGAGATCAATAACGAAAATTCAGTGACTTTAGGAAATGGTTGTTTTCTACTAGTCATGAATCATCACTTTCTTCTGTACAACTAGCAGTAAAGGAAACTCCTTAAGTTTCATTTTGATTGGCTTGCTCATTAGTGCCCATTGCATTCTTTATCCCAAACATAGTTGATTAGCTTACAAAAATCTCTGTTATTCGCAGAAAACCATTATGATTTAGTATCATGGAAAGCTAAGAATATCTTTGACTATCCAAAAACAGCCCCCATATTTTTAAAACATTTGTTTTGAGTTAAAATTTGTGACTTGTAAACACTCCTGTCTCCATTTTTGTCTGCGCATATATAATAAACTATGCAGGAAATCGCTGATGAAACAGAGAAATAAATGCAATGAATAATGTCACCTACTATCCATTTCTTCATTCTTTCCCAGAAAACTTTGAACTCACTAAATTCCAATTTCCCGTTGCCGCTGGTCTGGTAATCTGAATTAAGGAAAAGGAGTTGTTACATGAAGGTCCAAATTCTGTCTGAATGTATCAGCGCTGTTCCTTTAAGCAGAAAATGTTGCCTGGAAAGCCTATGGAGCTGCTGAAATGGATATTGGGATTTCTCACGAGGTGCAGCTCAAGCAGTTACAGTCATGGCTGTGGCTGTGATACTTGGGGAACATGATGTGATATGAAAACACAGCTGAGCAATGCAGGCTCCACAGGAGAAAGACAGACAGATTGTTCTAAGGCAAGAACAGTTTTGGATGTAAATGGGCTATAAATGAGTCAGAAAATTAAATAATCACCTAATACTGATTAAAACAAATTGCTGCTATACTCGAAGGAGTTAGTTAACCGATGTGCTATTCAGCAGTTTTATCTAAAGACCAGGTTCCGTTGCAACGGCTCAACCGAAAAATAATAGGATTTGTGGGGTGAGGCTGCCAAAATCTGATCCTTATGGTCTGAAAAGTTTGTATAGCGGTTCTGAGAGGCAATGATTAGATTTGTCTGGCTTTCCCTCTGCCTGAAGGGTCTTGATACTTACTTTAGTGAGTTACTGATGTCACTCAGGCACAGCTCACTTGCACGATGGGACACTTGCTCTGAAATATTAAATAAGGTATGGGCCCATTCCCCTCTCCATCTTACTTGCCAGGACAAAGCCCTTGCTCAGGTGGACACCAGGTCAGCGAGCGTTCACAAAAGTCAAAACGTGCCAAGTGGGATCTAGCTAAAGCCTGCCATTGTTTAAGCACCGACACTGGTACATTATTGGAGGCACCCACAGATTCTAAGGACGTTACCACTCCTGCAAAAAGTCTGTCTTTTTACCTAGATGGGTTCTTCTTCTGGGGCCGTGTAGAACTTTGCTCCCTCTCTGCACCACTGCATGGTGACTGTAGCCAGGGAATTTGGTGGCATATGACACAAAGGAGACTCTGCCAGCATTGACCTGAGTTTGCATTCATGTCATTTTGCTCCTCCATTGTGCTCCAAATACTGTGTTCAGAGTGGGATGGTTGTGTCTGCATTCTTTGTGCTTCCAAAGCAGAGGAAGAGATGTCTCCCCATTTATTCAAAACTATGCAGAGATTTGCTTGGAAGCACTGCAAATCACGGAAACTATTTAGTTATATCCTAAATAGTAAACCTAGGACTGCTGCCATGCTCCTGAGTCGAGTGCAGACCCTGGCTCTGTCCCAATACCATGTAAGGATGAGATGTGAGCATGGACCAGCTCCCTACTGAAGCCTGGTTTTTAAGGGAGGAAATTTAGGACGGGTCTCCTGTTTCTCATTTCATACGCAAAGATGACTGATATGCACTGAATTTTAACATTATGGACATAGCTTTAACGTGATAAAGTTTTGTCTGTTTTAGTTTTCTGTTAGAAATGTTTGAGAGGATGTTACCTCTGCCATGGACTGGAGCAACAAAACCAAAATATAATAACTTCTCAGCTGAACAAGCAAGACATAAACCAAATGTTAGATACTTGCCTTCTTAGGAATGTATCTGTTTTGTTTCACTTCTAACAGAATTGTCTATCAGGAAAGCATACTGCAAAAAACAGCTCTACCTGAGGAGAAGTCATGCTAAGCAAACTCAACAGGCATCGGAACATTGCAAAGGACAAATCTGTTGGGGAAGTACCAGGACTGTGATTCATCTCGCCTAATGTCTGGGTAGTTGTTTAGCATCCCTCACGGTTAGGTGCATCCAGAACAAGCATAACTACCCCATCCTTTTCGCTGTCTACAAAGGAAGTCTTGAAAGCTAGCTTAGATGTAGACACCTACAGCACAAGTGCCTAAATTTGGACAGACAACTCTCGCCCACATGTCTGCTTCCTGGAGTTGCAGGATCTAGCTGAAAGACCAGATTTTCTAGCTTTTAGTCTGGTTGTCAAAAAAATCCACAGCTTTGATATTGGTAATTTTCAACAGTCTGCTGATCCTTCATTTCTGACCCATACCTTGCATGCACAACTCTGTCTGGTGAATTTAATCTTCCAGACAACAGACTTCTCTTGAGTTATCTCTTCTAGGCCATTTTCAAATAAACCACAGATTGAAAAATGCACTGTTCTATACAGAATTAATCTGAAAATTATTTTTAAAAGCACTCAGCATCAAAGCATCTGCCTCTAAGTCTGCAGTAGAAAATGGCCTCTCTTGAAGCTCTTAATCCTAAATTTCTAAAATAAAAATCAACATACAACTTTCACATTTTTTTTTCTTTGGATAGTGTTCTGCCATGATGTTACCGCATCCATCTCTGGTATCTATGACAGATAATGCTATGGACAAATATATTCAGTATTCATTTAGCCTCACAAGGTCTTATTTGAAAGGATACATCCATAAGAGAAATTATATTTCGGCATGAAATTAGACTTAAGTTCTTGAATTTGATGTTCTTTGCTGGAAAAAGACAATAAGAAGAAAGAAATCATTGGGCAAATCTGCCTTTTATAAATTGAAAGTAGAAAACAGGATATCATCAGCAGAGATAGCTGGCTCTTAGTCCTCATTGTGGGAGGACCTGTGCACTGAAAGATGAAGACAGCCCTCGCTATAGAGAAGTCACAGTCCAGACAGAGGAGGTATTTACTGAAGACATGACAGGAAATACTGTCCTTGGTTTGTAAATCAGGAGATGAGGATCAGAGAGCCACAGGTTTCCTGTTGTACAAAGGGCCTGTAGCAGGGTCAAGAACTATGTCCAGGTCTTACAGGTCCCAGCAGAGTGCCTGTCTCTCCACAGCAGTGCCGTAGCGCAATGGAGAGCTGGCCTCACTGTGCTGACATGGATCATGCTGGAGGCAGGGCAAGCTTGTAGCTTGAGGATACAAGCTCGGTTGGCTGGAGGACACCAGGCAGGAGTTGTAACACAGCCTTTATTTCTCTATCTGTAGGTGATTTTAATGGCAGGTTTTATAAAGTGCTTTACAGCCCTTAACTTAGAGGTTATCAGGACTTACTTTTTTTTAATACAGCATTCAGAACATATTCGAGTTCTTCTGCAGCTATCTCCATGTCCTAAAATAAAAATTAAAAAAAGTGCAGCATCTGTTACTTGAATGTTTCTGTAATCAGACATACCAAAAACTGCAGAAAACACAAACATCACCCATCTGTACTGTATTGCAGGAAAAGCGAACCATACAAACCCCAGAAAAGGCTAAAAACCAAAGGGCTGGCAAAATACAGGAGCGCTACTGTGCATAAAGCTGCCTAAGATCTCAAGCAGGAATCATTGATTCAAAGAAAAATAAACTGCAGCTGGACACTGAACCAGGTAGGCTCCTTCAGGAGCTTGAGCTCTGTCTTTGGTCCTCCTGCTTGCTCACCAAGAACTGCACCCTTCTCTATCTAGATATAAGGCATGGTGACATCTGGTGCCCAAACAACACACTGCAACTAAGCATACTCCTCCCCAAACACGTCATTTTCATTTCACCTGGCCCTGGGTGGGAGCAGAAGTGTCTCATTCTACATCTTGCTATGACCTACAAGGGTTTTTCACTGACCTTTCCTGAAATCTGCTCAAACAGTGCCCGGAACTGCTTTTCTTCTTCAGTTTCTTGTGGGCTTGGAGTTGGGTTTGGAGGCTGCAACATCAATCACACAAGTCATGATAAGAACTGTAAAATATGACATTTCTCCTGCACACAGACTCTCTGTGCATCAGGGCACCGTAGTACATCTTAAAATAAAGATACACATGCTCCTGAACATTGCTAGACCAGTGGCATCCCAACGACCCAGCTGTCTGAGAGGAGTCTCACTGTCTCATTTGTTTTACCTGGGCAATTTTGTACTGTGCCATTGCCTTGGCTATGTGAAAAATCAAGATCACCCATCCTGGAAAGCACCTCTCCTTTCATCCCATCCCTGCAGCACTCTGCTTCCCCGGTCCTTGAACAACCACAGCTCTACTGAACTCTTTCCAGAGGCATCATCCAAGGATCTCTAGCTCTTCTTGAGAGCACCAGCCAGAGGTGGCCGCTCTTCAGCACATTACCCAGAGCCATCCTGAGCCTGGAAGCACTTTCAGCTGGCTGCCAGCTGAGTGTCTCAGGCAGACTCAGGGGTGTAGAGTCCAGGTTTCAGTCTACACTGATGAACAGAGGGATGCAATAGTGTAGAGCCACTGCTATAGCTGGGGTGACAATGTGAACAGACAGCAGTTCTTGTGCAAAAAAAAAGGGGGAAAAAGAAGACAACAGCACAGCACAGGAAGCAAAGAATCAGGCTCTGTTTTCTCTACCCGCAGAAGATACCACATGGATGTTTAGCGTACTGTCACTGGAGTGGCCTGGGTGACACTGCTTGGCCACTTACACTTTTTTTGACTGTATGCGTGTTCCTCACTTCCATCTGCTCAAGTTTGGATGCAGTCTCTTAATGATACTGAGACGGTGAATAGATTTACTTTGCTACCGAGCATGGCCCTCAGATCCCAGAAATGGAAACACACTTGTTAGATGTTCCCTGGAGGAGAATTTTACTAAAGAGGGACACATGAGATCTTGGCTTAGCTTGTTTCCGTGGGGATGCACACCACAATCAACGGCTTATTTGCAGGGGTACACTTAAACAGGAGCTGACTCAGACTCAGCTGCAATTAGTGCTCAGCAGGCAGACCAGACCATTCAGAAACAAAATTAATTTAATCATTTCCGTAGGCACGCACACATGTATCAAGCATTCCCTCTCAAGCCCTGTGGGTATTGATAAGTAAAATAAAGATATTTGTATGCAAAATTAATGTCTGTGGACATTCTCTTGCCTCTTACTTTTTCACAATAAATAGAGTTTTAAAACACGTGGATGGCCAAGTCCCTCCCTGATAGCTGCCTCCAGTGCCGTCTGATGCCGATTGCCTTGAAGCGGATGCAGAAGCGTAACGATTATGATTTTGATTGTTACAGCTCTTTTACCATATTCAGCAGAACTGACTGTTTCAGTCACGTACACAAAGCTGGCAATTGTGTGACATTCCTGTGTAATGAATGTGTTTTAGTCAAAGACGGTAAAAGCAGTGTGTGCCAGCTTCTGCTGAGCTATTCTTTTGCTATTTTGACTCTGTGGACTTACCTCAGGGAGATCAATGGCAACATTTTCATCCAGATCCCTGGGGAAAACAAAACCTCATTCAGTATCTGAAGATACGCAACATCTGCTTGGGGTAGGAGCTTGCTCATTACATTTTCCAGAGCTGAATGATAAAACTGCATTTTTTGCTGAACAGGTCAAGTTTAGGCAAAACTCATCAGACAATCAGATTTTTACACTGCTTAGATTTTGATATAAACCCTTAAAACAGACTTTAAGCAGAACTGAGGGAGAGGACAGCTGTTTATGCTGTCTGCTAAAGAATTCGTCTTATTCTTTAGTCATTGTGCACACATTTTTTTCTTTAATACCCCTTTTTAAATACAAAGTTGTCATTTCGACAAACATTGAGAGGAAACAAACACTGCAGTATTCACAGAGTACTGAACAGTATCAGGCAGCTAGCAACTCTTCTTTATCAAGATTCCAGAGGATTCAGCATGGCAAATTCTATTTCCTCACTTTCTAAACTCCTCTCCAAAAAACCGTCAGGTTTAGCAAAAATAGTCAAATGTAAAGAAAAAAAAAAAACACCAGGAGCTTCCCATGCTAGGGCTCTGCTATAGCACTGGGCACCTGGCAGCCAGATCCTCCCATGGAGCCACTGGCCTCACATGTGGGCAAGTGCTGGAGGGCCTGGAACTCGCTGCTGACTTACTCAGTGATGGCCTTCTTCTCGGAGAAAATCCTCAGGCAGAAATCTGCCTCCTGGTGCGGCTCAAAAGTGGTAGGAACAAGAACATAATCGCCTGGTGGCAGCTTGAATCTGTTCGATACTTCCCTTAAGTTAATGTAGGTTTTGCTCCTGGCCTTGGAGGGGTGGTACCTGAAGAAGTCTTTGCCCAAGTGTCCATCTCTGCCAGGGCTCTAAGGGGAGAAATGAAGGCAGTGCTGCACTTGCCGTGGTGTGCAGGGAGCCATCCTCCCTGCCCCCATCCCAAACAGAGCCAAACTCTGCCTTGAACAAGCCTCTTCCCCAGCTGTGGCCCTGACTCTCATCCCTTCACCCAGGTGCTTGCAGCAACTTAGCTCCTCCATGGCAAGAATCTGTTACCGGTGGTCCTTTCCCACCCAGCAGGCAGTCTAAGAGAACTCTGGAACATTGCCTTCCCACTTAAACATTCCCTGCCATTAAATCTCACCATCCCAGGCAGGGTATCACAGAGCAGTGATAACAGATTTGCCAATCCCAGCCTCACTCAGGGGCAGG